GTCCACACCGATAGACAGTATTTAGAAAGAGAGAGAGAAGAGGGGAGGAGTTGATCTTGCGAGAACTGCCGGTCGGGTGAGAATAGCCACTTTCCACACATAAACTTAAAACCACTAAAACTGTCGCAAATCAATTATTTTCAAGACAATTTCAAATCTTACTGTAAAATATCAAATTATGGGTAAAAATAGGGGGGCATGCCCCCCTGTAACCCCCCAGATTTTCTTTTACCCCAGTGTGGGGCAGGCCCCCCTGGTACCCCCCAATTAAAAATTGGTCCAAAGCACGTCTATCTCGGTTAAAAACAACGAAGTGATTATTCGGACTCGAGTCCGAAATGAAAAAATGTTATTCGAACTCTGATTCTTGTCCAGCATGACATCACTTCCAACTTCATGTGACTCGTGACTCTGGCTTCCTGTCCTGCCTCACTCGTGACTCGCCTCAGGCTGGGTAGAGACCGGGATCACTTCGGGCAAAAAGACGTTTTGTGCAGGAGCCGAGTTTTAATCTTATGATGAATTTGAGGCCGGCCTGAAAAGTTATAACGCTTCTAATAATAAATGTTTATTTGTCAAGAGGTCATCAGAAGCAATTAAAGATGGCTCGTTAGAGTGTGTCGGGGTCGGATGGGCGGCCTGCACACGTGTGGCTGTGTGCGTGTCGGGGAGGGGGTGGGGGGGGGGGGGCACTATCGGTCCGGGCGTTGAACGTCGCACGCGTCAGTCTTTTTCCCCCCGGCAACTGATCATTATTACAATAATAAGCTAGTCTTGACGTAGATCTACGTAATGAATTGTGCGCTGGTCTATGGAATCAAAAGTTGCCGTATGCTCAGCTCTACACAGCAACACAACTTTTTCTGGATAAACAGCTCATGATATGCAGGTGCCAGGTGGTCTGCTAATCTTCAATTTCACCTTTTTCTACAACAAAGAAAGTGGGAAACGTGGGGGGAGGCGTATCAATGAGGCGGCGGGCATCGGATCGGCAGAAAAGGTGTGTGGGGGGGGGGGGACTAAAAAATGGCGGAAAATTGGAAGCACTGAACGTTAGAACTATAGAACGAAGACACAAGTTCCTTTTTTCCGGACCTGAGTCCGAATAACATTTTTTCATATTCGCACTCGAGTCCGAATAAGAATTTTTTTATTCGGACTCGAGTCCGAATATGAAAAAATGTTTTTCGGACTCGAGTCCGAATAACGACGGCCTAAAAACAATCAAATATTTCAAAAACTATTAATTTGCGTCGGAAATGAAGTTGATATTCGTGTTCTGCGCATCAATATTTAGTAGAAAATAGACAACTGGTAGCTGAGTGTGAAACGGGAGGGAAAGTAAAAAAATACCGAAGCTTTTACTGGAGAAATTGTCGTTAGAAAATATATATCCCTTAATTATTTGGTTATTAGATGATAGAATCTAGATCTAGATAGATCTATATAATTAGACTATAATTTATAATATATTAGAATCAAGATTTTAAATCAGATTTCAGTGGTCTGTAACTGTACTAGATATCTAGTAGTAGATCTAGTACTGTCAGTCTCACTGTAGTTGTACTGTGAGAAAGACAGACGGCCAGCGGGAAGTCGCAGCTAAGACTAGACTCTAGTCTAGATCTAAATCTACTAAGAGAAGACAGTTGTCTCCAAATACACTGTTATTTTTCTCACCTGGGGTGAGAATAAAATGGATACTATTCTCACCCCGGGTGAGAATAACGACAGCCTACTTACTAGATCTAGAATCTAGAATCTAATTCTTACTGACCGTTTTTTTCGCTTCGGGCATCATAGGACCCAGCCCCCCTGTCACTGAGCGCTCCAGGAGACAAAACTCACCTCCCTCTTTCACTCCACTGAGACTTAAATCGACAATGGGCGGGCCAGCTCTCGAGGGCGGCGATTTGATTTGGGGGAAACCCTTCTCGTTTGAGCAAATACATGTCATTCGGTCGGTTGAAAGTGACGGTCGGCAATCGTTGACAACTGTCAGTGGCAGTCAGCAACAGTCTGCATTAAGTATTGTATGTCAACTGACTGTATGTGTCACCAAAAGACTTTATTGACATGCAAACTTAATGCAGACTGTTGCCAACTGTCGCCGACCATCGCCAACAGTTGGGATCGTCACTTTCAACTGTCCGAATACATTTGTATAGCGTCACATTTTGTTGCTATTTTAATTGGTTCTATAATGGAAAATTTTACTCTTGAATGGTTTGTATTCAATCAAAATTAAGAAAAAATATAAGCGTAGGGTCAAGGCACTGCGTGCCTTCATGTTAGGGATAGTGTATGTTTATTGTGCTGTAAACAAATCCAATTCTAACATTATTTCATTAAACAGCTTTCAGTTTTAAAGCTATTGTTTTTAAAAACATACTACTCTGGCTAGTGAGTTCCTTTAACTGAATTTAGAATATACACTTGTCTAGGGTTTCGGTGAAGATATGCGTGCATACTCTCAAGATTTTAAAAAATGAAACAATAACATTCCCTGCGGAGCCTAAAAAAATCGTCTTGAGCTCGGGGGCAGGTCACGAACAGTCACTCTTATATTTCACAAATTATTTTCTATCATCTTATTAGCCTACATGTAGGCCTACCCGTTCTCAACACCCAGGTAAGAATGAAAATCCATTGCATTCTCAGACCAGGTGAGAATATCAAAATATAATATTATTCTCTCCCCGGGTGAGAATAAAATGGATATTATTCTCACCTCGGTTAGGCTGTGGACCGACGCAAGCGGTTCTATAAGAAGGCCGCAAACGCACATAAACTCAAGCAGACTGACGCTCACACACGGTCATCATACGGATGATGCTTGGCGCGCGTGTGCTGAGCTAGGATTGTGGGACTGATACAGGCACCAACCAGAACCCGGACAGCGGGGGTCTAAATACAGAAGCCGGAAAGAAGGGGGGGGGGTCTGAATAATAATCTGATTAGTCACACCCCGGGGGTCTGAATAATGACACTGTTCTTAAAAACCCCTCTAAATATTTTAAAATGCATTGCATAGAACATCTCATTTGTTGTGTGACTGCATTTGACTTCTTCGCAAGGTTTCTCTATCCAGGGACACTTGAGTAGACATAAACATGAACATCTAGCTCTCACTGGCAAATTTTAAGGCAAAAGAGGCAAGGGTAGATCCTGAGCAACATACTTAAAAAGCCTAAGCAAATAGGTGACATGGAAAGATCAAAATAATGTAGCTTTTTTTAGAGCATCTGAGCAAAGGAATGAATGAAGAACCGTGATTGCTTCTATATGTCTGTCCCAGATCTGGCACTTGATGATGATGAATTTACTACATTTTTGTCTTTGACTGTATCCGTGTGTAGCGTCAACCTCTATAAAACCTGAAAATGAAGGCAGACCTGTCCAGCCTCCTGGCCGTCGGGCGATGGAAGGACCTCAGGGAATGCGGAGAAGAGCACCGAGAGGGAATCGAATGAGACTAAACCAAGATGATTCAGGTACTGTTAAAAACTAAGAAAATGCTAAATGACTTTTGTCTGTTCTTTTTTGCTGACTTATGTCAGTCATGATACAGGTTAATGTCTGACCTGCTCTGCTTCAACTCAAACTGACTGACTAGGTTGTTTTTGCAGTATACCTTAAAGTTCGGGCTATTGAAACCACCTTGTAAGCCGCACCCACTAAATTTTATTTAAATTGGAACTTTTTTCACAAACAAGCCACTCTGGTTTATAAGCGCAGCAGATTCGGGAGTCTCGAAAAGTACTCTAACCGTCTGTTGGACTATGTTTTTTTGTGGTGTTGAGGAAAATATGTCAGTTTTTTAATGTTTTAGGTGTATGCTATGAATTGTGGAATGAGTGACATTCCTGCAACCAGGAAAATCCGCAATAAGCCTCTTTGTTGTTTAAGCCGCAACGTTTAAAGCTATGGAAAAAAGTCGCAACTTATAGCTCAAATTTTACTGTAATTTATTTTAACCAGTGAAAACTTGGATGTTCTAAACCTTGCACTGAAATTATGAGTTTTAATTTCTCAAAAAGTTCCTTGCTAAAGTTGAAGCAAAAATTGTTAAATCTCTAAAAGCTTATTTTAACTTTGTTATGGTTTGTTCCCTGCTCTCATACGGCTAAGATGCAGTTCAGTTAATTCACTTAGTGTCTGATTCCATTGTAGTGGGATGTCATGCAGAGACCACCTATAAGGCTCCTCTAGCCCTTGCATTGTTTTGTTTTTCACCACAGAAGTGTAAGATAGAAGTTACTCTTGTGTATTCTTTTCTCTTTATCAAAAAAACATCTCTCATGGACACATAATTACTGTATCCCCATAACACGGTCAAACTTCACTTCCAGCAAATTTCTGTTTAATGTATACTAGCCAGCCTGTCTGAACAACCACTTAACAGCAACCCAGATCATGTAGGTTGAGCTGTGTCAGTCTCTGTTGGATGGAGGTTTAACATTATATCCTCATCGATCGATTCAGTATCTGAGTATTGTGAACCATTAAAGAGTCCACCAACATTAGATCTAGTCTCAAACAGCACAGTAAGACCCTCATCAATGTTAATTTCATCCCCATGATCATGGTTTCTATTGATATTGTCGATGAAGTTGCACAGAAATGCGAAGGTCCCTGACTGCAGCTGTCAGCTGATTTTCAGCAGCCCAGTTCAATCAACTTCTTCGTTTGTTTACAGAAGTGAAAATTATACGAGTAAATTTCTCTAATAGGATGTAGACAAAATAATTTCAACCAATCAGAATAAAGAAAGAACCATTGGAAAATTCCACACAATATAGTCGTACACAAATGCCTTAATAGCTACCCTCACAGCGGCTGGTTTTGGCTGTTATAAATGGTATTGAATGGGTTAAATAAATGTTCTTTCTATCTGCCTATAATGCTACTTTTTCTTTCTTTTGTAAGAACTCCCCTTTGGGTTACATTTCAGATGAAGAAGATGCAGATGATATATTTGACAATATTCCTCAACAACAAGAGGGAAAGATTGGTGCAAAGAAGCTCAGAAAACTGCAAGACAAAGCGGAACGAAAGGCAATGAGAGAGGTAACAACATCTCAGTAATTGTAGAGACTAATCTGTTTTATTTCACATTTTAAAAAAATATCAAATTTGTAATGGGCTCTGGCTATTAAACATATTATGTACTAGAGTAAGAATAAATAAATTAAAATATTTGCTTTTATCATTTTTAAGCTCACATGGTTGTTGGGGGTGGGGGGGGGGGGGGGGGGATAGGGATAAGGGGTGGACAGGGCTAAGGGGTAGTGCTCTTGTATTCTTAGACTATGTTTCTAACATTTTCCTCTCCATTCATTTCAGCAAGAGGAAAGAGACAGAGAGGAAAGAAAGAAAAGAGAGAAGGAATTGGAAGAACAGAAGAAAGCACAAGAGGAGGTTGAAAAACAAGAGGAGGCGATTAGGGTTTGTATTGTGTTTTATTGCTTGTTAAGGTGTATCCAGCTGTTGTTATTTGTGTGTGTGAACATTTGCAATATTATTTTGTGGGGAAAGCTTTGTGTGTGCCTTCTCTGGTGTGTTTTGTTTTAGTACATTTTTTAGTTTATTGCAGTAGCATTTGAAACATTCAAGTCTTATAATTTTTTTACATCATTTTAATTTAGTTACAGTGAATGCAGAGAGGGTCTGCATGTTGCAACATTTTATAGTCTATAGGTGTGCTCCTTTCATTTTCAAGTTTTCAAGCAGAGTCGAATGTTTTATGATAGTAATGTTGAATTCCATAAAAATAACATTTGGACTTGAACTTGAATACATTTTAAACTATCATTAAGTGCTATAGCTCTATAAAAGGAAATTTCACGTGACCATATGAATGAAAAGACTGCTTTGTCTGTAAGTTTTGTCATCATCTTCCTTTTCAGTGTGAGTTTAAGTTGAAGAGTGCCTTTAGCTTTCCCCTTTTTGTTTTCTCATGAAATTCAATTTTTTTAAAAACTATTTTATTTCAAGTTGCTCAGTAATAAAGAGAATAATAATGTTCAGGAATAAAAGATCGTAACTTTTATTTTTAAAATTTGTTAAGGCTATGTAAAAAGTTATTCCCGCTTCTGATCTGGACATCGGGGATTGTCTTGTTAGTGAGACAACTTCCTGGGCCTTCTGCATATTGTGGTAGGGTATGGCTATTGTGGTAAGGCTTTGTATTGACCATAATACTCTTCTTCTATTTGATTGATATTATGGAAAAAATGTTGCTTCTGAGTATAAAAAGGGTTTTTTCTTTTGTCTCCCACTCTATTTCTTTAACAGCCATAACCATTTTTTAAAAATGTATTGATCACTTACTATGTCTTTGTCTTTCATTGATATTTCAGTCTGATGGATTTTATTATGAAAGACAGAATCTATTAATATTTATCTTTTGTATTTTGTACAATGACTTGGTCAGTATTTTTCTCTTTTCCCTTTCAGGAAGAAGAGGAGAGGAAAAAGAAAGAGGAACAAGAACGTATTGAACATGAAGAGTACTTGAAGATGAAGGAAATGTTTTCTGTTGATGAAGAAGGCGAAGGAGAACTAGATGCAGACTTAAATGTAAGAGTGTAATTTTGTTCTTTTGTGTTTCTTTTTGTATTTTTTAAAAATTGTCATAATATAAGAATGAATTATAGTTGTTTCTTCTAATGATATTTCCTACATTGTAGTGCAAGGCTATCCATCTGTGGAGTCAGTGGCCTAGTGGTTAGGCTACTGGACTCGTAATCGTGAGGTTGCGGGTTCGGGGGTTCGAGCCGTGGGCCAGATGTTGTGTCCTTGGGAAAGGCACTTTACACTAATTTTCCTCACTTCATCCAGGTGGGAATGGGTACCCGGCCATAGACAGCGAAAGATCTTGTCAGTATATTAGTGTTTTAGCTAAATGGCTGCTTGCACTGTATGCTTCCCAGAAAGTTGAGGTTGTTTCAGAATGCTCTCAGGTCTGCTGGGGTAATGGTATAGATTGTGAAGTGCATAGAACTTACTGTTGAGCAGGGATTTGCGCTATACAAATGCTATCTATTATTTATCTATTATTATTACAATGTGACTTTTTCAGTTGAAGAATAATACAAGCCTTCTCATTTTACATTGCATTCTACATTGACACTGCATTCTGCCTCATTTGAAGGAAATATTAGACATTCTGACTCCTTACATGCATGAGTGTAACTTATATAAACAGCACTTGTACAAGGGTCACATATATGTTGTTGATACTGCTTATATCATCAGAAATTCCAAAATACAACATTGAAAACTGGTGCCTTAAAAAATATTGTTGATGGTGTGCTTCGATTTTTATTTTCAGAGTGAATCTCTACTGGAGCAGTTCATAAATTACATAAAGGTGAGAAGATATGCAGTTGTGTCATCAGCGCACATTTTTGTGTCAACATGTTTTAATATCAGTACAGCTTTAGAATATGTAATGAGTACTTGATCTGTGTCTTAATCTAAATCCAAAAATAATAAAATATGCTCACAGGGAGAGAAAATAAGCAAGAAATCCAAATCTTCAAGACAGAGATTTCAAGCTTTTCGGCTTCATCATGTCTTCTTCATGCATCTGTGTGAAGGACATCAGCACGTGAATTGGAGTGGCAAAGTAATTTAATTGTGCTCAATACAGAGTCATACTAGCAACACTAATGCGATTCTTAAGAGGCTTATCTAACAGGCTATGAAGCTTTGACACAGGATAAATCGAATAGAGAATTAATGCCTATTGAGATGCCATCTTAGTTGGGTCTTTGACTGATAGAAGGACTGATCACAGTGAGTTGGAACAAGTGTCCTCCCTCGTTGAAGAGCTTTGACATGCAAGGAATGAAAAAACTAATATGTTGGTCATATCATTTAATGTGGAAGAGAAGAACAATTCTGTTGAAAATACTTTAAACCGAAAACAGGAAAGGGAAAGAAAGCAAAATTAAGGACCACCTGTTGCATTATATTTCAAAATTATATTGACTAAATGTCTTTGAGGAACAAGGATAAAGAGTAAAGGTACTAGTGTTTATGAGGACAGCTTATAATAGGTACCACAAGCGAAAAAATTTTTGAACAATATTGACGTTTAAACCTCAGGGGTTCAAATCTACTCTATGAAACAAGAACATAAAAAAAAGAATTATCAAAATCCATCAATAATCAATCGAGATATGGTATTTCAAAGTTTTATTTTTGAACGAAACCTTTTCAACTGCGACTTTCACTCATGTTTGAGGTGTTTTAAAATACAAAGTGCATGATCAAATCAATGAAAACTTTGTTTTTCCCAGAGCTGTCAACACAAATATTGATATCTCTAAATCAAAGCATGTTAGAATGACTGGTTTCCAAGATATAGGCCTTCAAAAATTGAAAATAAATGCCAAAATTTGTCATTAAGAGCTCAGAACCCTATTTTAACCTCTTCCAAATTAGTCAAAACTGCCTCCTCATTAGTGAAAATCACACAATCATTACAAATACATGCATAGACTTAGCTGAATTTTTTTCAGACCTCTCTGACCATAAGTAACTTT